CCTCAGCCAAATGAATATTATGGGACATAACACACCTCCTAATTAAAAAAAAAAAAAAGAAAAAAGAAAAAAGGATTCTAACCATTGACTATTGACATTAAAGAGACATTTCCCACTATCATCAACTTTAAGATCAAATTCATCCTTTAAAGCTAATAGAGCCAACCCTGTTTTTTAAGGTTCCCATTAACAATTGCAGCTGCTTCAATTCTGTTTACATCCAGATCTCATTTTATTCATGCATGCACAGAATGAGGCCAAATCCTTGGGGACAAGAATTCCCAGAGAATGAGTGATCCAATGAGCCAGCTGTACATACATCATCTTTAATCAGACCTAGCGAGGTTGGAAAATTTAAAAAATGAGTGTTTGTATTAAAATCTTGAAGTTTGGGCATCTTTTTTATTTCATGGATTTTAGGTGAAATGTAATGAGTGCATGTTTGGTTTGCATAATACATCATGTAAGATATGGTCGATGGTGTCCACAGACTTATTTTTCAGGATCCGGAAATGAATCATTTAAGGGTATTTGTACATCACTATTCATATCTCCATTCAACCTATGTTATGCGTACTGCCAGGTCACATAGAGAATAAATAACATTCAAGTAGCATTCATTGGTTTTGCCAGGCTGCTTTCCGACCTGCCTTACTAAAACTTCAGCAGGGTCATCACAGGCCTACTCAGATACAAGTAAAGAAGTGTTGTTAACTCTTAAAATGAAAGCATCATTTGTAAAACCACAGTCTAGTAGTGTCCAGAAACCTTACCTTAGAGAAAGCTCTAAAGAACTACCCTTTTAAAAAGCCTTTTTCTCTTTATTCTTGCAAATGTGATTTCTAAGCATTTGTTACTAAGTCATAAATTAAATTAAAACTCATATTGGCTACACAAAACAATGTCATCAAGTCCACAAGTAAATTATCCTGGTCACATTATTATGATGATTGAAGTTTGCACTTCATTTTCAGCTAGCAACAACTCCAGCAAACAATGAAGCCTACAACTTAACAAAACTATTGTGTCTTTAATTTTCTTTTTAACCAGATCCTGCTTTGTTCAGAGTTTTTGCAGGAAAAGACACAGTAACACAAGCAGGATATACTATGTGCCCCTACTTATGAAAGAGCAGATTAGATCTTGAAAGTTTTATTACATGCTGTTCAATGGAAGAGACAGTCAGTTTTGTTTTTTTTTAAATTAACTAATTATCCACATAAGGACCTTAAATTTCCTTAAATAGTCAGTAGAAAGAAGCATGTACTTAAATTACTTGGATAATTTTCCTCTCTGCTGTTCTCTGGAGCCATCTACTTCTGTGCACTGATATAGTCCACTCAAAGTCTGTGGACCGCAAGTGGACCATACAACACAGGAATATTTCCAGAATTATCAAAATGGTCATTGGAAATTTTTTTTGAGTGATTAAAAGAGCCATTTCGAAGTATTGAGAAATACTAGTAAAAGGAATTCAGTGCTTTTAGAAAGACTCACCCATGACTCCTCCACCTTCTTCCATCTTAGTGTCACTGACACTAAAAAACACTTAGCAAAATCTATGATCATGCAAGTTTGACTCTTCAGGAATGCTTGAGGATTGTAGGAAATTTTTTGCACCTTGGCAGCCTTTATTCCTGTACATATATGAGTTTAAATGCTACCCAAGCATATATTATTGAATAAATAAAATTATCTAGAAAGGAAGGGACGGAGTGGAAGAGTCTAAAACAGAAGGATATGATGAACATCAGAGAATAGCTTTCTGATTAAGATTATGCAGCAAAAATTCAGAATCCTTTACATATCAAGTGCATTTTGGAGTTGACTAAAGAAAGTCCCTTAAAAAAAAAAAAAAAAGTCTTTTAAAGTGATATTAAATTGCTCTCAAAGACATTCCCTAAAGATCTCAAAGTAGACAAACTGTCCTCTAGAGGCACGTCAGGACCATAACAAGGAGCAGCTGCTAGACCTCTCTCCTGGGCAAGCCCTCTCTCCTGCCTCATGTCACATGCTTGAGCAGATAGGTAGGCAGAAATAGGGTAACTTCATGCTATTTCTTATGTTTTTAAAACCTGTGATAAATTAGTATTGTTGACATATGCTAGAGAAAAAGAAAAAAGAGAAGTTTGAAAGCAGTTATTTGAGAAAGCCCAGGTTTAGCATTGATCAGGGGGCTACAGGTCACACTGTGTTAAACAGTCTGATGGTTGTTTCTGGTCCAAAAATCTACGTTTCTTAAAAATCTGTGTTTCTAAAATGTTCAGAACTTCATGACTCACCATTGCTTCAAAAGTAGTTAAACTAAGACCTGCTTCCATAAAATATTCTGCATTTGGATGAAACAGTATTTTTTGAGAGAAGTCCTGTCGTGAAAACCTCTTAAGCTTCTCAGGCCAAAATCACGTCTCTGGTCTTGAAACAGAACCATTTAAGTCAATGGGGCATCATCAGTGCATCTTGGAATAGAATCTGGCCATTAGCATGTTTAAAGCATTTGCTCACTGCCAATGTGCTGCCTTAATTCACTTTTCTGAATAAACTTCAATTTCAGCACTCAGCACTCAATTTAATTTTGTGAATAAATGAAATTATTTCAATAGTAATGTTAAGAAACAGAAAGGGCTAGGTAATTGCAGATGAAATGTAACTAAATAAGGTTGTTATTTATTTTTGAAACTTCCAAATGTGCACTACATGTTTGTAATAGACCATATGGCCCCTTCTTGGCAGCCCTAGGGATGAGCTAGCTCTGCTTTGGTTGAACACAAATGCTGGGAATCAGCTAAAGAGCACCAGTTCTAGCTAAAGAATGACATCGCACAGAAGCAGAGGAAGAAGAAACAGGCTTCCTCTAGCCATCTTTTCTTTATGAGTGCTTAAAAGATTAAGTGGAATTTGTGGGCTCACCTAGTGAAATTAATTTTTTCTGATACCAGAATTAGCTGGAGAGTTGGTCCAAGAGTTGATTTGGAAGGAAGATTAAAGCTTTATTTGATTATCTGGATGGCCCTATTCACTCTACTTAAAATGGAACCAGTCTGAGAGACAACCAAGTGAAATGGTTAGAGCTGGTATCTGCATGGAAGTAGGTGAGATCAAGCTACTGTGCTCAAGGGGAAAGAGAAAATATTACTGTCTAGAGTGAATTTAAGAACTAATAGAGATGGGATAAAAGAGCATGACAAGCAGCCCTAGAGAAAGGCGGAGATTACAGCAATGTGATCGGATGGTGACTCTTTTAAAAAACACTTAAAATCGAACAACTGAAATTGCTTTGCAGGAACATAGGAGTTCTCATGATCAGCCTCGCTGATGGTTCATCTAATTCAGACTTCACATGAAAGTTGCTTTACTTGATCTGGGTTTTGCAACAGGTAAAGAAGGTAGCAAAAACTCCTAGGCAGGTTATGGCTGTGTGTACCACAAAACAGAACTGAGGATTAATTATGATGTGAAGCAGCTCCTAGAAGTATCGGGTAATTTATCGCATGGTCTGTGTTTGCCATCTAGTGGTACAAAGCCAAAATTTTTGTTCTGATGGGCGAGGGCAGGCGGGACAGCTGAAATCTGTCTCAGGAGACCTCTCCCACGCAGACATATGTCTGCTTTCGGGCGGCTGGTGGTGACAACTGTAAAACTGTCCTTTTAGGAATTAGGGGCAGAAATTTTGCAGCCCTTGACCCACCAGACTTAGGACTAGAGCACTAATGACCTGGCAAGGGTTATCCAGTAATTGATCTGTTGCTCCCCTTTAGCGTTCTGGTTATTGTTCCAGTCTTGATCTTACAGGTGCAGATTCTAAGAATATTCAGGCACCCAACTTTTCAGTGGCTTTCTGTGAGAGTTCATGGAATCAGACAATCACAGAACGGTCGGGGTTGGAAGGGACCTCTGGAGATCACCCAGTCCAACTCCCCTGCCAAAGCAGGTTCACCTACAGCAAGTTGCACAACCAAACATCTAGGGATTTGAGATTATGTTCTAACAGTTTGTGAACCACGCTTACAAAACCCTCAGCCAAGGGCCCTCCAGATGTCTAAAGGCATCAGCTTTACAGCATTCCTGTATGAAGACATATGATTATCTTCCAACCAGAAGACTGAACTACAAAGAAATCAGCAGCTCATAAAAACATTGTACAGGGAATATATGCCATTCTGGCAACAGAACATATATACCTAAACATAAGCTATAGGACTAGTTTTCTCTCTTAAAACACTTGAAGAATGTGTGAAAAAAGAATTAAGTAAAACGATTAACTTTTTATTTCTGTTATGTCATATAGTAAATACAAGGGAGATGCATTAACAGAAATATATTTTATCAGAAGAAATTATATACAGCATGATACCTCACCATACATGTTATTAACCTGGATTTCTTGCTATATAGTTAAGAAAATAATAATTATATATTGATTTTTTAATCAGTATTCAGGAAGTTTAAAATAATTCCCACATCCCAACTAAATAGCAAATGTTTTCAGGTTTTACTATAAAAGCATAGCTAGGAGTTAAGAGCTGAAATTTCCATAGTATCTCTGTGATTCAGGAGCATCACTCAGTTTAGCTTTTCTTGGGATTTTCCTTCCTAAATCATTCAGATTTTTTTTTTAAAACCCCCTTCACAAGCCACAATGAATGAAAACAAAGCAATACAACTTATACAGAGGACAAATCCCAGATGACTAAAACAAAGATTAATGAGATTGAATTTACTTTATAGTGTTAATCATGTTAACACTAATATGATTCTGAAAAGTGTACCTATACAATAACACCACATATATGACAAAATATGTGGAAGAAAAATTTTTAAAAAACTATACGCTGTTAGCTATGATCCCTTCTTTTTTAAAAAAATCATTGAATCTTCTATTTATTGAGCAGCTGTTGCTACATTCACTCATTCATTCATCCACTCATTCAACTGTTATTTATTTCATTAATTATTCAATCAGTTGTTCACTGAGGGACTGTATATGATCTATGTTTTACAATTGACCTCAAAGAGTGAGGCAGCTGAATGCATCCGATAGAAAATAGAAAAAGGCATTGCAAGGTTCACAACAATTATCCAGGGTTCAAAGCCAAAAACGATTTCTTCTAGTCCATTGTCATATTCCGGGCGACAACCGAATGCCGGTGGTATCCACAGCTGCAAGGAAAGAATGCAAGGCCAATGTTAATCACCAGTGATAGGAGTCACTAGCCCTTAATGACTGTGACCCCACTGAACTGCAAATTGGTTTCAGAAATCCCTAAGAAAACCCTCCCTGTTGCTACTGGGGCACACTGGCGGGAGAGGGTTTCAGCTTCTGCTGCTGCTACAGTTTTTGTATTGTGACTAAAATGAGCCTAGACTCCCAGATTACATGTTTAAATAAACTTTGTTCCCCAAAGGCATATTCACTTGTTCTTCAGGAGTAGTAAAATTTACCTGCTATAAACTATAGAACCATGTAATTTTTATACACTTATCAGGCTTGAAAGGTTGGGAAGCTTTTGGGTATTAACTTGTGAATTATGTTCAAAATGTCTTACCGAAAGATTGCAGAGGAATAAAAATGCAGCGATGTTCTTCAGAATTCTCCTTTTGTTGTTAGCAACTGAGTTTCTATTGTAAAATGAGAAATCTGAGGCTGAATGCATGACCGAACTATCTTCCTGACTTGTTTCTTGTGTAGCACCACCATCACCATTTTCTCTCCCACCAATACTGCCCTTAAACAGGCAGGGTACCTCTCCGCTGTCACAAGCAGCTCTGCCATTGTAAATCTCTTTGTACGAGGGGGTGAGTGATAAAGTGCTCCCCCGAGATATAGTCACTATTCGAAGAGTTTTAATATCATCGTTCACCTTTTCCTGCTCACGGTGTATGGATTCAATGATAAAGAGGTTCTGAATATATTTCTCAATAATAACCAGGACGGAGTAGGGCAGGTTATACCATGTGTATTTCGGATGAGCTTGGGCACAGATAATGGCGAGGATGGAGCCCCAGGAGAGGAGCCAGGACCCTGCAGCTGTGCCCACCAGCAGCTCTGCATCAAGTTTCCGTGCAGGATTTTTTGAATTATCCAACAATCTATCTTCCAGTCTGTAGATTAGAAGGGCGACAATTCCAGCTGTACACATGAGAGCCAACACAAAGATAGCATGCAAGTAAAACATAATAAGTGCTAACTCGCTTTTAATTTTCGAACGTCCAATCTGAATTAAATACACAACAACTATGGCTATTGTGCTAGTTAGCACGATTAGTCCAAAAATCATTCCAACAGTTATGCCGTGGAATTTGAATGGAGTTTTGTGTTGCTGGTGGTGCTCGACTTTGCGGCCAATGTTCTTCCACAGGACATACAGCATTGTGGATGCTAGGATGTGGTACTCTATATTAAAGGGATATAGGTAATATATTCCTTGAGAAAATATTGAGCAGAGAGTTGTTGTTGTGCAATTGCATTGAGGTGCATGATCATCTAAAACTGAAGAAGAGATTAGTTATGTGCATTATAAAGATTTCTCGTTTAAAGTGAATAAATAAAATATTAATAAAATAACAGAGCATAAAAGGTAAGATTTCAGTCAAACAACACATCATGCCACTCAGCCACCTAAGAAAAGGTTTCGCCATTAAAGTCATTAACCTAACAAAGCTTTTGCACGTTCACTGAAGTTTGCACGTTCACTTCACTGCTCAGCTGCTGAGCAATAATCACATCATGAACAAATGCTGCACCAAAGTGCACCAAACTTCAGCAGGGTCTTGGTAAAAATACTTTTTTATAACACGAAAATCCAAATCCCAAGCACTTTGAGTCCTTAGCCCTTCAGCTTAGAAGGCTTTTATAGAAGCCTGGGGATCTGGGGATCGGATCAAGAACAAGCTTAACAAGGAAAGGGCTCAGTTCTACTCTCATTTTTATCCGTCATTTACACTAGTGTTGTTTCTAACACCAAACCTACTTCATTAGAAAGTTCTTTATGTCTAGGAAAGAGGTGAAGTAAACCACAGATACTTTTGTTCAATGTCCAAGTATAGTTTTAAGGTTAAAAAAAAAAATTAAAAATCAATCTTCTCCTTTTGAGGGCAACCTGTGAAACCATTATCTCTCTGCTGTGCAGTTACCTGCATTGCAAACCCCTAAGGCATCTCAATGCCCAATTGCTTGTATTTGTAAAATAAATACATTTAATGTGCATTTATAACCTAAGCAAATAAGGTCAGAAATCAGAAACTTCCACAGTGACAGAAAAAAAGAGATACTTATTTTCACAATGTATTTATTTATAAATATATAAATGTAAATGCTGAAGAGCACATTTTTAGGTGCTGATCTTAGATTTGTGCCTGGAAGTTTTTAATTTGTTTTCTATAATTTTAGAAGAGAAGAGGAGAGGAGAAAGTTGGTATTGTTTTGTCTCAAGCACACACTGTTAGGAGATAAAAAAAAATTGATTTTGCAGTGGATCATATGTTAATGCAAAACTTGTCTTGTGGATCGCTACTTCACTCGCCCTTGTTTCAAATGCTATTCCTAACTGTTTGTAATTGTGTCACAATCCTGGCAGCAGAATAATAGGAAATAATATAAGGAAACTGCTTTTATTTAACAACTAGAAATATCAAGAAGAGCCACTAACTTATGATTTGCCTGCTCTCTACTAATGATCCACGATTACAAAATCTCTGGAAATATCTGATTATTAATGCAAACTAGATAGTTTCCATAGATACATATAAAGAGTAACAACTGCAAATAGATGTAAAATTGGGGGCATAATTTTAGACGCAGTTACACTGAAAATACTATTTTACAGATTTTTAAAATAATTTTTCACTTATATATGAACTTTGGCAGGAATTATTAAAAATGCCTAAAATTTTTCAATTGATACAGACTATAAATAGGCAAAAAACCAAATTAGTTCAGGATTTGGCTTTGTAGAAGCAAAATCAGGAGTTTTTAGGATACAGGCACTATTGAATTCACTGGGTGGGAAAACATACATCTTCTTCCTCAAAAGCTGTCCACCTTTTCCTTTGCGAACACAATCAAAATTTATCAGCTGTACCAACAAATTTTCATGGGAAGAAAATTAGTTACAGCTGCTGAAAACTTTTATTTCCTCTTTAAAGTTAAGCACTCCTAATTTCCACATGGTTCAGTGGCATTTGAAAGCAGAAGGCATCCCCAGCAGTTATACTTGATGTTTGTTGACTACAACTTGCATCATTTTACCAATAGAGAAAATGGTTTGTTAAAAAAAAAGAACCACCCAGAGCAAAATCCTTGTCTTATAAAGCAGCACTAATGGATAATCCCCATCCCTCTGAGCCATCCCACTGAATCCCGTAGGACCACATACCACGTGTAACCACTCTCCTGAGAAGGATTTGTAAGATTATTCATGCTTGTTTTTCTACAAATAACTTAGTAAATAGTAAACTCTGGTTTTAAAACTGCTATGTACAATTTACTTCTTTGATTTACTAGTAAAGGAGTTTCTCAGTGATATTATTCCTCAAAAGAAATGTTTTTAAAAATTTGTTCATTTGAAACTTAGAAGAAAACAACAACCTGGATCACATGTATGATAATGATCGTATAACATTTTAGTTATGATCTGAACAGACTATGTATCAGCTCACTACCGTCTGCCCCAGAATGACTACGCTGACATAGCCATGAATGATCCTACAGAGATGCATTTTTTTGTATGAGAGCGTGTTGGAGCAGGAACTCCAAAACGTACCAACCCTTTCACTTACCTATTGTTATGTTCCCAAAACCAAGCGTGATTAGTCTTTCCTTATGTTCATTCAGTTGATGTTTTGACTCTGTTAGAACTCCATTTGTCCACAGGAGCAAATTTGTGAACACAGAATGGATAACCCCAAACCTACAAAATAAGGTAATTATTGAAGGAATCTGCAGGGTATACCTCCATATATATTAAACAAAAATGGATTAACTGTAGACATGCCACGTGACACTATTTAGTTGTCAGTGCAGGGAAAATAAAATCATAATCAATCTCTCTAAAGATGTTTCTCAGTGGAGCACAATGAATGTTCCAACTTCCAAAATTTTACAGAAACATAATGGCTTAAAGTATTAAACCATTAATAGCATGCTGTTATTACTTGTTATGCTCTCCTATGGGATGGTTGTTACTCTTTTGGCTGGACCAGCTTCATGTTAATGACAGTGACTGAACAGTCTGAACAGGGTTAATTGTTTCAAAGCCACATTTCACATCCTTCTGCAGTGCTCCTTCGTACTCACTGTGGCTGGCCTTTCTTCACAGATCCCACCACCTTCTCTAACTTCTCGTCCATGCATTTTAATCTCCTGGAGAGAGCTGAAGCCAGCAGAGGGCTTTACCCCATCCAGACTACTGGTACGGTGAGGGTACGTCTTCACGTGTTTTTGAGACTCCTGGTTTCTGACAAGCCAGGCGTTTTCCTCCTGCACCTGAGGCTGGTAATGTTCCTTCACCAAGGAACGGTTCTTTATTACCGCACTGTTCTCACTGATAGGACTTGCAGTTACGGATTTTTCAAATTCTACTTATAAACAGAACTGATTTCACTAGCTGACATCACAAAGCCGCCTGTGATCTCTCTCCTCATTGGCATGAGGCTTGAACACTTACACAAGAGAGCAAATCAAAACCTTCTCCTTAAATGATGTTTCTGGGTAAATTTCTTTTACTTCTTATAGAAACTGGTCAGCTCATTGATAATTTGAGACGAGTATTTTGAAAGTTACCATATTTGTTTATTTATGTTGTAGGTACAGATAGATTAATCTACATTAATCCCCTTTCTCACAAAACCAGAAATACATCAGAGCTGGCTCTGCTGCCTCAAAGACTAGTCTTCACTTCTATAAGAAATGTATGTGTTCAGCTGTTCAGAGGACAATTACACAGCGAGAACCAAGTTCTGGCGTCAGAAAAGTGCACAGCCTTTACTGATTTGGGTATATGTGATACCACCAGGGAGGTTGTGTTTCCTAGTGAATTTGCATATCGGCATCTAGTTCCAAAAGGTGCTTTCCATAAACATCAATATAAAATACCCCAGATATATTGCACTGACTGCAGGTTGCTGATGCGGATTCCCTTTCAGTAGCTAAATAAAGAAAACATAATATAGTGCATAGTCCTAAGACACATACATGGCACTTCCTTCCTTCAAAAAAAGCAAGTGACACTGTGGTATCATATCTTGCCCATTTCCCACTCTCATAAGAAAAATATACTTATTCTGCGACTGTTGTAGATTATAAAATATAAGCACAGTTTAATAAGAAAAAATAATTCAGAGTAATGATTATCTTCTCACTTGGGTAAATGGAGTTACTTTTTATTTATATTAACACAGTTAAGAGGAGAATCAAACTCTGTAAGTTTTCAGTGTCCCTCATGCAGCAAAACCGTAGGTGTTAAAGCACTGTGCAGACCTAGACCTATTAGCACTCCAGATGAGGATCAGATCCACTTTACCTTTCAAGGGTTTTGAAAGACTGGATAATATCTTTTGCATGACACCAAAGAAAGTACACCTAAATGAAAGGAATACAGAGAAATGTCATTACACTAGTGAGCATGTATGACACTCAAAAAGGAAAGTACATCTGTAGACAGAAACAATGATGATTATATCCTCTGAGGATGTAAACTGAGGTAGCTCCATCTCCACACATGTGAAATAATTCATGATTTCCTGTGACATTCACCCAGAACCTCTCTGGCATGATGAACCTAAGATTTCTTATATGCAGAGTCAGTGGCTCAATGGCAGAAACTCTCAGTATGACTCACCAAAACATCTGTTTCATCTGAACAGGAGGAAAAACTTCTTTACTTTGAGGGTGGCAGAGCACTGGAACAGGCTGCCCAGAGAGGTTGTGGAGTCTCCTTCTCTGGAGATATTCAAAACCTGCCTGGACATGATCCTGTGCAAGCTGCTGTAGGTGAACCTGCTTTGGCAGGGGGGTTGGACTGGCTGATCTCCAGAGGTCCCTTCCAACCCCAACTGCTCTGTGATTCTGTGATTCTGTGATATCTTGTGTCTGTATCTGGAAAAGCTTTTATTTCAGTGACAAAGGAAATAATAATTTGATTAATAAAACAAAACAACAGACACCCAGGAAGCAAAAGAAAAGTTTGTACTATCAGTCTGAGACAACTGCCTTAGGAAGACATGCAGTTGCACTCAAGAATGGTGCAGAAAGCTCAAGCTGGAGAATAAAAGAGAGAGAGATAACAGTATTAGGTTAGTAAGTAAAGGGTAAAGAAGTATTAAAAGTGGGAATCTCTGTTTGTGCGAGGATAATGGAAACCTCAGGATGCAGACTGTTGCTGATACAAAACTGGTTCCAAGTGCTGGTAAGTGCAAGGAGAACAATACCAATATTCCTCAGGGATGATAGGGTGAAACTGGGCATCCTATTTACTCAAAATAGCTCCTAGGATACTGAACTTGACAGTAGGTGAACTATCAGGAGACAAATGATCCAAAAGGTTTCTCTTAGAAACCTGCCTGGTTTGGTCTTCCAGAAATGGTCTGAAAAGTACAAAGAACTTTGGGTTCTTCTTCAGCAATTAGAGTAACTGGAATGTCCATTTTACCACTGTGCCCAGTAATGTAGGCATCCTACATCACAGCTGGTGGTGTCCGAGAGATTCTGTATCTGATTTTTGAAAAAGCTAGGAAAATACAGTTCTCTGTGGGCCGCCTACACCACCCAGCAATAACATGTTCATTCATTCCTCTAATGAAGTGTTTATCAAAAGGAGGTGTGACCGCTGTAAAACCCCAGGTGCGGAGACTACAAGATATCATGGAGGTTTCAACTGAAATCAAACAAAATGAAATTAGCACCTTAGTCTCATCTAATGTCATGTTCAATTTCCCATTCTGGGATCGATGCAGTAAAATCTAACAGAAGATGTGAAAGCATTCTTCAAAACTTAAAAAACGTAACTTTTGAAGATCTGTTCAGACATTAGAGCCAAGAAAGTGGGGGGAAATAGGAACAGAAAAGTCAGTAAGGTAAAGAAATAACATAAAATCCATTTTTTGCTCAGAGAACTCACTGCTTGAAAGGGACTTCTGCCTGCGAAAGAGAATTTAGCCCTCAAAAGTATCCTGTGACATGCTTAGAAATTAAATCAGTATCAAATTCACTGATGATGAGAAGATAAAAGGTTTTTTTTGTAAGAAATAACAGATACAATATAAAACTGCAACCAGTGACTTTTACCTGTAAGATGGTGTGCACGGCATGTGTAACAGGAAAAATGCCTTCAGTTGGTGATAAACAGTTTGAAAAATCAATATAATATCCAATTTTAAAAGAGTCCAGAATTAAAGTAATCACTGCAAATAATGTGATCCCACCTACAAATGAAAAAGATATTAGAAAACATCAACGCACAGTTATAGTGCCTAGAGACAATCTGTACCAATACGCTAAAATCTGTTTAGGGGAAATAAAAGTTGATCAATATTGATGTTCTTGTCTAGGGAAATAAAAGTAGATCGATGTTCATGAAGATAATTGACCCAATGTAGTAAATCCTCCTAATTTGTGAAAGCCTCTGCCCAATATATGAGGAAAGCACATCCCTGCACATGCCTTGCACGGTCAGCGTAGAGGAGCCAGTCCAGCAACGGCCAGGACCTGGAGACACTCAGCACCTTGCAGATGGCTCCCAGCTCCTTCAAGGTCAGCCTCTCAAGTAACGGTAGCACTGAAGCAGCCATACAGTGCATGAATTAATGCTCTATACAGGTACACAGCAAACCATACGATTCCAGGGAGCCGAACAATCGTGTTACAGTCTCCTGGCCCAAGAGCTCGACAGTGGGAAGTAACACAATCACTCGGTATGCCTTCCCTGTTGTTCAGGAGGTCACGCTTTAACTAAGAGACCACAGCTACAATGAGCTGTACGGTTTGTTCTCCTAGAAGGGAACCAAAGATTTCATTTCTGTATCTATTATTTTCACACATACACAAAAAACCTTAATATGTTCCTCTAAATATGTATTTTGTATCCTAAAGAACTTTCAAAATACGTGTTTCCCCTTGTTTAATTTTTTTTTCTTTCAGGAATGTAAATATTTGGTACAAATTCATTCTGGAAAGCTATATGGTAATGCAATGTATATTATTAATTATTGGGTTTGTACTAAGCACATGACTAAGCACAACTGGCAATAAAATTGCTGAACCAAACTCTAAAGTCTTCATTTGCTTGGTTTGTTGTTTTTTTTCTCTCTAGGCTTTTATTCAGACAAGGTTCCACTGGATTTAATGTGGGCTTATTTGAGTTAAGACTAGATAAAAATCTATCAATGGACCTTAACTGGACCTTAAGATCTACATCAGCATCAGTATCTTAATCTTTCTTTGTAATTCCTCACAGAGTAAATGACATTACCAGTGTTGACTTTGATGAATATTCATCCTTTATAAAGGACCACAAACTAACTTCCTTATAAGCACCACATGTTCCACTTGACTTGTATTAATAAAATAACACTAATTTAATAATTTAT